TAGCTCCACGACCATCACGCCACAGCTTTCCAGAGGGGCCATCCACAGTCTTCTCTGTGGCAGTTATGGCATGGACTGTGGTCATGACTGCCTCTATGATGGCAGAGTTGTCATGGATGACCTTGGCCAGGGGGGCCAAGCATTTGGTGGTGCAGGAGGCATTGCTGACCATCTTGAGAGAGTCGTCATGCTTCTCATGGTTCATGCCCATCGCACATATGGGGGGCATTGGTAGAAGGTGAAGAGTTGATTACCCATTTGTCACTACCCTTCAAGTGAGCCCCAGCCATCTCCAATGTTGTGAAGACACCAGTGGACTCCACAACATACTCAGCACCAGCATCACCCACTTGACGCTTGCGGAATCTCCTGGAATATAGTGATGGCTTTCCCATTGACGACCAGCTTCCCATTCTCAGGCCTGACAGTGCCATTGAACTTGCCATGGGTGAAATCATACTGGAACATATAGACCATGTAGTTGAAGGCAATGAAGGGGTTATTGATGGCAACATCCACTTTGTCAGAGTTAAAAGCAGCCCTGGTGACCAGGAATCCAATGTGGCCAAATCTGTTTATTCCAACCTTCACTGTCATGTCTCAGCAAAGTGGCTGAGCTGCATGAGAAGAGAGGGCTATCTGTCAACTGAAGGGGAGCACAGGAGCCTGTTAGTGATCGAATGCAAAATGTGTCCTTTTACTCAACATAATGCCTGCCAGGTTCATCCATGCTGTTAGGTGTTTCATAGGTTCGTCATTTTTCTTTATTGTTGCATGATATCCCATTGTCTGCACCATGATTTGTTTATCCCTTTATTAATTGGCAGACGTTTCCATTGTTCCCATCTTTCATTTATTGTAAATAGTGCACAGTTGCAAAATATTTCATCAACATAAGTGTGTATATATATCTGTTTGTGTCACTGTTCTCTTTTTAGGATATATGCCGAGGAATATGATTGCTGGGTCATAAGGTATTTCTGCCTCTTACAGAATTGTGCTCACGTGAAACCTATACCTTGACCAAGAGCCTGTTGTACGAACAGAGCAAGGGAACACTGAATATCTTAAAATTAGGAAATGTGTACGTCAAGGTTGTATCCTTTCTCCATCCCTGTTCAGTCTCTCTGCTGAGCAAATTATTTGAGAAGCTGGATTCTGAAAGAGAATTGGGTTAGAAGAAAATTGGAGGAAGACTCATCAACGACCTGTGTTATGTAGATGACACAACCTTGCTTGTTGAAAGTGAGGAATAATTGAATCACTTCCTTCAGAGGAGCAAAGCCTTCACTATAGATTGCATCTCAACATCAAGAAAATAGAAAGTCCTACCAGTGGACTGATCGTCAACATCATGAGAAAAGATGGAAGTTGTCAACAGCTTCATCTTCCTAGGATCCACAATTTATACCCTTGGTACCAGCAGTCAGGAGATTGGGAGACATACTGCGCTGGGAAAGTCTGCAGACAGCGATCTGTCCAAATTACTGAAGCAATGATGTCAGTTTGAAGACTAAGGTGTGTCTGATTCAGGCCATGGTCTTTTCAGTCACTTGCTGTGCATCTGAGAGCTAACAGTGAAAAAAAAATGACAGAAGAAGTGATGCTTTTGAGCTGAGGTGTTGGAGGAGAGAACTGAATATCACCTGGGCTGCCAAGAGGACAAGAGAGATGTCATGGAGAAGGTGCAGCCAGAATGCTTTATGGAAGCAAAGAGAAAGCTTCGCATCTTACATACTTGGGGCACGTTGGTAGGAGAGGCTATTCGTTGGAGAAGGGCGTCAAGCTTGACAAGGTGGAGGGGACAGCAAAGGAGAGGAAGATCGTCCACCGTGTAGCTTGACATAGTGACTGCAGCAGTGGGCTCAGGTGTGTCACAGATTGTGAGGACACAGGATAGGACAAGGTTCAGATCTGGTGTTTGTAGGGTTGCGATGAGTTGTACTCACATCAGACACCTAACAGCAACACATCATTTTCCATAATGGTTGCACCATTTCACAGTCCCACAGGCAGTGTTCCAGTTTCCCACAGCCTCACCAGCATTTATCATTTCTGGCTTTTGTTTTTCAGTACCATCATTGTGAGGGTGAGATGGTAACTCTTTGTAGTTCTGATTTAGGAGCTGGTGGCTCAGTGGTAAGGAATCGGGCTACCAACGCGAAGGTGTATCGTTAGATCCACCAGCTGCTCCACTGGGGAAGGACAGCTATGCTCCGCCGTGCAGTTTACTGCCGCTGAAAACTTGCTGGGGGGTCAGCTGGGGGTCAGTTCTGACTCATCGGTCCACAGCAACCACCACCACCACAACGGTTGATGAGTGCAAACATCTTTCATATGTTTCTTCGCTTCTTTAGTGAAGTGTACCTGTTAATTTTCATTGCTTATTTTTTGAATTGGGTTATTTGGGTTTTTGTGGTTGAGGTGGTGTTGGAGTTTCATAAATGTGTCAGAGATTAAACGTTTTTCAGATACGGTATTGCCAAAAGTATTTTGCAGTCTGTAGATTCTTCCCCACCCCCTTTTGACAAAAGCTTAGGATGAGGATAAGTTTAAGTTTAGGAGACCCCAGTTACCTAGTTTGTCTTCTGCTGCTTGTGCATTTTAGTTGTGTCTGATACTCTGCTTACGTCATAGCTCTAGTGACGTAGGCCACGGCAGTGGTGTGTTGCCATCCGAAAGGCCACTTGTCTGTTATTTGAATCCACTAGCTGTTCTGTGGGAAGCAGATGAGCAGTCTCCTCCCGTTAAGACTGATAGTTACAGAAACCTGATGGTGTGTCACTGTGGGTTGGAAGAGACTGAATGGCAGTGGGTGAGTAAGTTATGTTTGATAGTCTGTATTTGTTGTAGATTGGGGTTTGTGGTGCTGCAATCCCAAAGGCACACAGTTTGAATCCACCAGCTGCTCCACGGGAGAAGGATGGGCAGTCTCCGCTCATGTGATTTACTGGCCTCTGAAAACCCGCTGGAGAGTCAGCTGTGAGTCATTTCTGCCTCGATGGCACAAAACAACAAAAGCTTTTCCCCTATTTTTGTCTTCCATGAAATATGCAACTTTAGATTTAAGATTTAGGATGTTGATCCCTTTTTAGCTGGTTCTTGTGTACCGTGAGGTACAGACTGGGTGGCACAACTTCTTGGTACTTGCCTGTTAATGGAGAGGTTGGCAGTTTGAATTCACCTTCTGGCGATGCTGAAGAAAGCTCTAGCAATCAAATGCCATACGAGTAACCACGGCTTGTTGTCGAGGTGATTCCAACTCATGGCAGCAGTGCTCCTCGAGTCTTCCAGGGGCTGATTTTAGGAAGAAGATCAGCAGACCTTCTTCTGAAATGCCTCTTGAGTGAGTTCAAACCTCCTACCTTCTAGTTAGTAGCCCAGTCCTTAGCTGTTCGTGCCAAGGGCTCCTCCAGAGGATTACAGCCTCAGGAACCCTGTGACGATGGTTCAAAGTCAAAACAACAGTAAAGAGACCCCAGATCTCCCTTGTAACCCTGCCCCCTTCCCAAGCCCTCTCTCTGCTATGTGGATGCATTTCCATGCTATGTGGATGCATTCCCATGTGTTTCCTCGTCCTTTCAATAGGATTTTGGTAAAAGGAGGCATAGAAAACCCCTACACATACTGGTACTTCTTGTTTACCCAGAATAGAATATCCTCTCCTGTAATCTGTCATTTATCTCAATCACTTAGGGGCTATATCAGTACAAAGAGATACTCTACACTTCTTTTGACAGCTGCATGATGCCTGCTCTGGGGCTTCTTGGATTTTCTCACATAGGCACATCCCTCAGATCTTCAGCTTAAAGAGAATTTACTGATGAGCCCCTGTGCTCTGGTTGTTTGGTGCTGATGGAGGCAGAGCTTTAGGGCAGGTGTCAGGAGTGGGATCTGGTCCTGCTCCCTGGGGGAGGGCTTTCCCCCAGGGGAGG